AACTTTCCCACGATATCAGAGAAATTCAGGAATGAAAATGACGTTACATATGAGGTTGATGCATTTGTGCATGTCGTACTAAGCAAGGTATAAAAACAGTTGCTTTATGAGGAATTAGTTCGTACCATTGAATATTTGACGCAATAGACAAGGTGTCGCAGAAACCGATGTTGCTATAACCAAGTTTTACTGTACTTCTCTCAGTTACTGAATGTGCATAGGGTCAGTGATGTTAGGCAGATAAAAATACATACAGCTGAGCTGTTAGTACCTGATCCTAGTCATTTCAAGGTTGAAATTGCTACTGCAATGTTGAAAAGGTATAATCGCCAAGGAGTGGTCGAATTCCGGCACAACTTATTAAGCAAGAGGTGAAATGTTACGGTCTAAGATCCAAACATTCATTAATTCTATACGGAATAAGGAAGAATTGCCTGATCAGTGGAAGGGTCTATTACTGTACCAATTTACAAGAAGGACGATAAAACTGACTGTAGTAATTTTCATGGGATATCATTATTACTAGCTTCATATAAAATTTCTTCTCTCAAGGTCAAGTCCATATAGAGATGAAATTATTTGGAATCATTACTGAGGGTTTCGACGTAAGCGATCAACTACAGATACGATTTTTTGCATTTGTCAGATACTGGAGAAAAATGGGAGTACAATGAGACAGTACTACAGCTATTCATAGATTTCAATAAAGGCTATGATTCAGTTAGGAGGGAAGTATTGTAAAATATTCTGATAGAGTTTGGGATACCCATGAAACTAGTTAGGTTGATTAAAATGTGTTTAAATGAAACGTATAGTAAAGCCCGTACAGGTAAACATTTGTCTGATACTTTTCCTATCCAAAATGGTCTAAAATGAGATGCTTTATTGACACTGCTTTTCAAGTTTACTTTAGTATATGCCATTAGGGCGGTCCAGGAAAACCAGGTGGGACTGAAATTAAACGGGACACATCAGCTGTTGTCTATGCCGATAATGTGAATCTACTGGGTGATAACACAGATACCGTAAAGAAAATCACAGAAACTTTTGATAACACAGATACCGTAAAGAAAATCACAGAAACTTTTAACTGACTCTAGCAAGGAGACTGTCGACATCTGGCCACCTGAATGCAGGGCAAAATCATGACATAAAGTCTGCTAACAGATCCTTTGAAGGTGTGGCACAGTTCAAATACTTGGAAGGACAGTAACAAATCAAACTCTGATTCAGGAGAAAATTGAGAATTTTTGGACCGAAGAGGGATGAAGTGACAGGAGGTTGCAGAAAAATGCATAAAGAAGAGCTTCACAGCTTGTACTCTTCTCCAAGTATAATCAGAATGACGAAGTCAAGAAGGATGAGACTGACTGGGCATGTAGCACGAATGGGGGAGAAGAGTAATGCATATAGAATAGTTGTGGGAAAGCCAGAAGGAAAGAGAGCACTGGGAAGACCAAAATATAGTTGGGTGAACAATATTAAAATGGATCTTAGAGTTAGGATTGGGTGGTATGGGCTGGATTGATCTGGCTCAGGATATGAGGCAGTGGAGGACTCTTGTGAACACTGTAATGAACCTTCGGTTCCATAAAATGCTGGGAAGGTCTTGAGAAGCTGCACAACTGGCGGCTTCTCGAGAAGGGTTCAGCTCCATGAAGTTGGTATCCTTAAACTGACTTTGGTCTTTAAATGCTTGTCAGTCTTTTGGAGAAAGTGAGCGAGAGCAAAAGGGGGTAACCTCAAGTCTGAAGCCAAAACATGGCCCACCGAAAGCATACTAACTGCAAATGAACATAACTGACTGAAAATCTGAGCAACTGTGTGGAACTCTGTACAACTATCAGAAACTATGAGCAACTCTGTACAACGCTAAACAATTCTTATCAGCTCTGTGCAATTCTGAGGAAAAAAAATTGAATGATACTGTTTAACTTTGAGCAATTTTTATTCGACTCTATGCAATAACTATGATGAAATCTGTGCAACTCTAATATAAACAACACCAATGGCCGAAGGGTGCATTTAGTATAAAATATCGGTACTTAATCGGACAGTGATGTAGATGATCTCATCATAATTAGAAAGTTACTTTATTCCATTTTCAGCGCATGACGGGAACCAAAATCGTCACACCATACATGTCGCTGAAGAATCAAGATATTCCTTATGAAAGATGACTACTCAAAGAATGAAGTACCCTCAAGAATATTTCATATAGACTTTACCCAAAAAAAAAGTGAAATCATTTGGAGTAGGCTAACTGCCCACACAGTTGGGTTCAAGACAGGTGCACCAACTTAACCTGATCAAACAAAAACATTACGGCACTTTGGGCTCAAGCTTCGGAATATTAAATACTTGCAAGTTGACAACCATAAACATAATTATATGCTTCGATGTAAATGCAGTCGTATCATGCAACAGAAAAACGGCTGATTTCAGAAATTGGAGCATAATTCCCCCTCCCCCACATTACTATTGGGATGCTCCTCCTACGTTAACAATGCAAACACACACAATTGTTTGACAAAATCTACTCGACTAATAACATATGTTTAAAGACTGAAATCATATATTTGAGTTTCCCACATGTAACACTACTTACTGAAATACACGAGATTTCCAAAATTTATGTCATAACAGAGGATGAACTAAATAAAAAAAATGACATGCCAAATATAGCAAATTCAGATCGTGTCCGCAGTACATTAAATATGAAGTAAAACCAATTCTTCGCTTCTAATTCATAAACACGCATAATCTGAGAAGCACTACAAATTCACTTTAAAGGCACAAACTAACCAACCAGAAAAAAATATATTAATAATCATAATTTGAGAGCTTACCTATCCTGTGTGACTTAAGCTGTAACCTTCATGAAAACTGATAAAATGTTGTATAACATATCATACGTCTCTTCTTTCCTTCTTGCACCAACACAACCAACATAGGTTGCTTCTACTTGGAACCCACACCACTAACAAAAACACAGTATTATAGCCACATTATGTATAGGGGGTTGCCCCAAAATGTTTCGCAGTAGCACAAAAAAGGACTCAAAAAACGCACAAATGACAGTCACTCACTAATTAAAAATCCGAGTTGATATGCCAACGAAATACACGTATCTTGCAGATAAAGAAGCACTGTATGTCATGGTCTGCTTCTGTCACCCCTCCCACAAGCCCCATGAACCAATCCTCGTATCACAAAACAAAAGGGTAAATTGCAAAGCTTATATAATTGATATATACTACGCAGGTAAAAAACTATCCCGTGGGTTTAAATTTGATGTTCTTTGACGTATAAAAATCATCCTAGACACTAAGGCCGTCGGTTTATTTGCACATAAAAAAATGTCAACAGACTCAACACCGCAACACACGAACCTTAGTCGGCCAACACAAAGCGACTGTGAGTTTCTCACATTTGCCACCAGAGGAAGGGTGCTAAAACTAACCATTGAGTATCGACAAAGCGATACGTAGTTCATGGTATTGCCCAAAGATGACGGTAGTTACGCGCAAGTAAATCTGGGGGTATGCGAGAATTATTTCTCTCCGCGGTTATTATGAAGATTGTTTTCGGGCTGTGATGCCGTGTAGCTTGGTGGACAACTGACGTTTCGGAGGAACGTGCTACTTCCATCTTCCAGGTAGAAGACTACCTTGAAGATGGAGGAAACAGTTCCTCATCTACTTCAACGATATACCAGACTACTCTGGGTCAGGTCTGAGAAGGCGTGAACTTCATTGCTGCTTCTAACAATAATGAAACTACGAATGAGGTAAATATAAAGTTGTCTCCGTGCTTAATTAATTAAGCACCACGCCATGAAGACGTGTGGGGAGTGAATGTATATTGCCATCATTCTTGACCTTGGTACTGAATGCAGGTGGGTGGGTTAGCTTCCCGCCGAAGGCACTCAACCCCGGGGACAGAGTTGCCGGTACCCATTGGATAAGAGACTGGGTGGGCCCTGCCGCCGGTCTGGAAGTTGTGGAGAAGAGAAAATATCTTTCCCCTGCCATAAACTGAACCCTGACCGACCAGCCCATAGCCCATACTATCGGGTAATAATTACAAAAATAAAGCTAAAACTTACAGGTAGAACTCAAAGTGTACTTTCCTACTGCACCGACTGTTTAGGGAATGTGAATTTGCAATACAAAATCAAAATCCAGTTTAGTTCATAAGCCGGCATGTGTAGATGATCATAAAATCAGATTTTGCTCAGGTTAAATTTTATTGCCTGCAATTGTGAATACGTTACAGATTATTCCTGTAGTTTTTTTTAAGAAACAAGTGCTCTAGTACAGTTTTATCTGCTCACAACATGTGGGGACTACTATCAAAATTTCACATCTTTATGTCTGTATTTTTTAACTTATAACCATTATTTCATATTCTCACGTGATGGTGTGATTATAGACGGGGTTTTTAAATGATTGCACACTTACAACTCGCAACTACAATTAAGGATTATGCCGTCACTGTTCTACACAATTCACAAATCACTGTAAGACACACTAGGTCTTCTCAGTCTGTTACAGTCTTCAGTAGGGCCGCGCCATAGCTCAAGCGGTTAGTCGCTGGCTTCCCATCGCGGAGGCCCGGGCTCGATCCCGGGTCTGGTCAAGTGGGATTTGTGGTGGACAAAGTGACGCTGGGGCAGGTTTTCTCCGAGTACTTCGGTTTCCCCTGCCAATCTTCATTCCACCAATTGCTCCACAATCGCCCTCACCTATCATCTAGGGCTGGTACAATAGGCCAGAAGTGGTCGCAGTACAAGGGACTTAGTCCCGCCCCACTAGCAATAAAAAAAATACTGTCTTCACTAGCCGTTGCTTGGTAGCGGCTTCAACCCGCAGACGTTGACCATCCTCTGGGTTCCCGACCTGTCCCCGGCCTCAGCTACCAGCTTCTCAAAGTAACAGCGTACAACTACTGAACCCCAGCGGTTATCTAACTAACTCACCAAACCAACTCACTTAACAATGTCAAAGTTTTTTTTTACGACCGACGGTCAGTCAGCCAGTCTGTCATGGTGTCAAGCACCAATCTGCGGCCCAAGACCAGATTTTTATTACTGTCAGACAGTTGTCAAAGTGAGTCATATTACGGCTGACGGTCAGTCTGCCAGTCTATGTTGGTGTCAAGTCCATCTTGGACCCGAGACCAGATTTTTGTTACTGTCAGTTGTAGGCTTATCTCTGGCGAGAGTACGGGTCTATCGTTTACAATTGCTGCTGGTCCTCGCCAGTGCCGTATGTCTCTACTTCGCTTTTGAGACAACTGCCGTCAGAGTCAGAGTTACTTCACAACTGGAGGTTTATCGCCAATCAGTTCATCTTGGCGCCAAGCCCCTTGAGGCTCAAGACCAGAGTTTTTTTTTTTTTTAATTTACCCTTGCGATCATAGTCCTTAAGTAACATCTTCTCTGAGGAGTGGATGGGTTTGTCTCTAATAAATAGGCTTCGCCTTTGTCGAGTGTAGGTATCGCACATATAACATATATCTACGTGGTTACGGAGAAATACTTTTCTTTCCGGGAACAGGTGAGTAGGATGAAAGTGATAATTTGGAATGAAGTACTTCGCATGGGGTTCTAGATGTGTTTCTGAGTGCAGAGTGACGTCTACATGTCAGCCTTCTGTTTACTGAGCTCATATCGCCGCCTCCAAATGTCAATTCCACACAATGTTATGACTTTGAGCGGCCTACGAACACTAGCAGCCGTTTAGTTTCATTAAGTTAAGTACCATTTTTGTAATGATCATTATTTAGTCTCTCTTCTGACACAGCTTCACTATACTCTATGATGATCTGTTACACAACAGTGGCGATTTATAACGTGTCATTATTAATCGAACCGGGAGCCCGTACTGACAGGCCTGTTCTCTGAATTTCCTGTTGTGGCAGATGCTGTTGTACGGGGGTCCGAACGATTTCCCATATGTCTGCGGTGCCTGTGATTTCTGGTGTTGCGTGTCTTGACATAGTACAGCCGCGTAGGACTGCTCTGGTGAGGTGTACTTAGAAAATAACGTCCTCCTAGAGGATCCTTTAGGGAGTTCGTTGTGCTCTTCTCCTTCCGCATGACTGCAGTCTCGATATAACGCTTGATGAGGCTTTTCCCCTTCTAGGGTGCAATAGCTGCAGCTCGGTGTAGATTCTGTACTTGTCTTTTCAGAAAATTTCCTATGCAAATGGCCACCACCGCATCACGAACATCGAAGGCGTTGCATGCAGTTAGCCCAGATTTGGCCAAAATTTTGGCAGTTGTAGCACTGCGTAAGGCCAGCCTGGGCTCTGTGTCATTCTTCCTTGGCGATAATATGGTTAAGACCATTCAACTTGGATATCTCTTAAGATTTTATATTTCTTGTTAAGGTAACAAGGAAAAGAGGAAGCGGTTCCGCGTGGGTTTGTCTTTCGGGTGCTGTTCGAGTGGCCGTCATTTGCCTCACGTCGATGACGTTGAAGACAAAGTCCTCAAGGCTGTTGGAAACATCTTCCGTTGATTTTATAGGCTTTAACATCTTCGAGAGCTGCGGATGTTGGGACTGGTTTAGTCGAATTCTTGGCTGTCTGCGAGGTATTATGAGATATATACCCATTGCATCTCTTTTAATTCCTGGAAGGCGTCGTCCTGGGTAGTTAATTCCACTGAGAGTTTGTTCACTACACCACTTTATCCTTTCTGTGCACTCGCCTTCAAGACGGCCTTCAGTTCTTTCAGCGCTACTGCGCACTTGCTGTAAGAAGTGCTAAACAGTGGCTTCCCATCTAGAGTTTTGCAAAAGTTTACTCTGTTCTCCTCCGCGCCATTCACAATAGGATCCACCCTGGGCTTTCCCTCACTTCAGGCATTGTGCATCCGGCAACGTTCTCAGCGTCACTGAACACTTTATATACTCGTACTTGTTGCACTACATAAGCTGCTCCTGGGTATTTGTACATGATGGCGTGACATTCAGATTTTAGCTATGCTAGCTTCTGTGTCCAGTATTTCCGGAACGCCGGTAGGTCACAGCGCTATTCGTTTTTCTCACTATCCCTCAGCTCAACCTCTGTTATCCTTCCCCCAATCACTACAGTATTGAGACTGCAGCGCTAACTGGCCCTGCTTATAACTCGGCATGGACCGCGAAAAATACCACCACTTCCATTACTGCTGTATTCTCTTGTTGCCGTTGGAGACATGCTTGTTTGTGGAGCCGTTACTTTGCAACGGCTTATTTCGCGGTCGTTGCCCAGTAACAAGTTTACATGTCACAATATATAAATGTGTAGGTACAATGAAGAAAGCAGTCTCCTGGGATGTGGCGTTGTGTAGATATTGTAACCGTCATTTGGAGGAATGATTAACACAATATCTACATGGCGCCATATCACAGAAGACTGTTTTCTTCATGGTCACCGCCGTGAAAACCTCAAATGTTACATATGTGGGTACAATGTTTGTTCGTATATTTCACACGTTATACTGCTCCAGTGCTTCATTGTTTATTACCATCAACTCAAAGGTGCAACTTTTTACACAGCTACAATGATATTTTACATAGAATTTGACACTGTACATTTGTTGGCCAAGGCATGAAGCTGGCCACTCACCCTCAACTAGCTCCGAGGCCAAGAAAATATGAATCTATATATCCATTCCCCCATATGGCTTCATGGCATAGCGCTAAATTATTGAAGCACTGGAAGTTTGCCTTTTTATTTTTACTTACCACCAAACATTATTCCATGCCCTGAAATTCCCACAAGTTTGCACATCTGCCATGTTATGGTTACTGACTGCAGGAAATTTAACGTATCACTGGGCGGCATCCACTGGCATAATGTTCATACCCAGTTTTGTGAAAATCAGTCACAAGTTGTAAGGGAAGGGGGGGGGGNCTGACTTCATGCACCTCCATCCAGTGCTGACATTAAGAATGTGTGCAACTCTATATCCTACTCCTTCATAATGTCCTCATGGTGCACTGATTACTTAAACAAGGATCAAAGATAATACAAATTTCGAGACTTTGAATGGCAGCTGGTGGCAGTCCAGTCTCATGAGTCTGCACTAATGGGACTGATGAACACTGAAGGGTATCACGGCATGACTGATACTGTAATTTAAGTTATGATGAAGAATTTGATACTGGTACCCGCTTGTAACAAAGAAAACCACAGTATGAATCTTCATCTTTAAAAAATCTCATATATCACACAAGGAAAAATGTTCATACAGTTCAACAAAAATCAGTATCTGTATACTGCTATTTTTGAAATCAAACAATCCAATACAAGTAGCTTGCTAACAGGGATCTGTAGAATTGACTTCTAGACTAGTTCATTCTTGTCTAAGCAAATTTTTTAGTTTGACACATAAATTAGTAAGAGATTTCCTGGTTTGCCTGAATATTATACTGCTCTACTGTGTGCCTTCTGCATGCTGTACTTCTGAGTGATAAAAATTGGAGAACTACCAAAGAACAATATACAGAGACACAAAGGACAGGATTGTAAGTTCTTTGCTGTCTCATCTAACAATAACAATAACTGGTGAAGCTGAGGGAATGATGTTAGTGGTAAGTGCCCTGAGCATCAGAAACCAATAACTCATTTACATGTTAAGGTTGCAAAATAAACATTTGCTTATTGTACATTTAGAATTTTTGTTCATGTGTTTTTTTCTGTGCAGTATATGTAGGAAAAGTTGGCAATTTTTTACTGTATGCAAAAGAGTGGGCAGTTCAAAACAAACTGAAAAATAAAATTTCATAATTTCACACACCAAACATACTAATAAACTTACTAAACCTGATTACTGAAAGCAAGATTCACATTAAAATGATGTATGGAAAGGCAGAAAAATACACAAGCTTTTTTATTAGTATTCTTCTTATAGCATCACTTTCAGTTTGTGTGTGTCCATGTCCAAAGTCTCCAATTCCTTCTTTCTTCCTACAGTTTTTCCATACTCACACTGCGAGGGGGAATAACATCAAATAAGACTGCCTATTTGGGTGATTCTCAGGACTGCTGCAGAAACTGAGAAGAACCAACTGGACCCCTGAAAATGATAGTTAACAGAGCTCCAGTAGGTGTGTGACAGCTCCAGCAACCCAACAGTGGATATCAACACTTTCAAAACGACAAAAAGAAGTTAGTTGTTAGCAACAGAAGGAAGTTTAAATATATAATTGAACTGAAATTATGGAAAAAATTATATGAAATAAATTTAACCGCTGGCTATGATTATTTTATGAGTCACCTTGCCAGGCTGTGGCTTTTTAATGAAAACAATTGCACCTAATCAAAAATTTAGAAATATAACGAATGTTTCTGGTTTCATTTATTCCATTTCAAAATTAACAGAGAAGCACTACTGTCACGTAACATGGAGTAACTACAGACATGATTTGGATTGGTGAATGAATTTATTGACCTGTTTTTACGGAACAAGTAGAAAACACACTTTCCAACCATACCTATATTGTTGCATGTGTACCCATTTCTGTGGAAACAGCTATACATGCTACAGTATTTATTAAACTTATGCATTCAATATTTTAAAATTTAAATGATGAAGTAGAATACAACATGCAAATGGCATCAGTTTTTATGGAACTTGCTGTTATTAAAAAAAAAACTGTAGCCTGCAGATTTGGCATTTCTGTTATACAGAGCAGCATTTTTTTTTCTTCTGAATGGTACAGATCTATATCATAACTCTTGAGGGTACGGAAGAAGCACAAGCTGTTGCACTGCAGCCCTGATAAACATATGTACTAGTATTTGTGATGAGAAGGTAAACTCAACACCATATCAGTCTTAACACTGATGAACATAAAATGGGGACTGCAATGTCTAAATTTAATCCATAAATGCAAAGTTTGCCAATCAATTTGTAATAGCATTGAATAAAAAATGCAGCAGCTTGGTTGAGCACACCATAATATTCAAGTTTCAGTATAGCTGTATGTGTAAAGAATAACGGATGTCTATTTATATTTCTACTCATAAAATAATGCTTGCTACAAGTCGTGACTGTGTTTACAAATCTTTTCTCCTTTGTTCATCAAGCAGAATTGAGAAGTGTAGATTAATAACATTCTTACTGGTTAAAGCAAATATTATATCATACGTCTAGTTACTTCTATCTATGCTATATACAAAAACAGCTGGTAGCTATGGTGTGAAGCGCTGGCCTATATGATCACAGCAACAACTCAGAAAACAATTTAAAAGTTGTCAATTTTAGATACTTCTTAAACACCCCAGAAAATTGAAGTGTCTGTAAATATATTCATGCATACTCACATAACAACCCACATCAGTTTTTCTTCAGCAAAAACAGATTACCAACAACAGATTACTCGAGCAAATTTTAAAATAAAAATGATTACCTATGTATACTGTTAATCAAACACTACTGCATGCCATACACCAGCTGTACCTCTGAAACTTCAGCAGTGTTGCCCACATTCGAACAGGCTAAATACCAATAAGTGAACTACAATAGTTAACTATAATAGGCCAGAAGTGGCCGCAATACAAAGGACTTATGGCTTAAAATCAGTCACAACTGTACAATCCCTCAACTTCCAAGTTCACAGCATCACAACTTTGCTGGCTGTTGCTTATCTCACTGCAGCTAAGCATCTGAACTAACTGGCTTCCAACTGCAGAAATCACACAATGCACAACATAGAAAATACTTCTCTGAACAGTTCTTCTATTGTTGCATCATGTGGATATCATTCATACCACGTAAGGAACACATTTCCTCTGCGGCTGTTTATGGCCATTACCTAGCAATGGCTGTTATTTACAAATTCATTGCTTAGTAACAGGTCTATAGGTTACAGAATTTGTCTTACACTTTATGTAATAAGGAACATGATAATAAAAACATGCCAAAGTTGAGTAACTGCTGAATTTATAATTGTCATATTAACTCTTACATCAATACACTCTGTTCAGTCTGTTACTGTAGTTAAAATACATTTACATAATTTAAACCACCAAATTTTTTGTATCATATTATTAAATATCAGAAATTTTTATATTCATGTTAATGAACAGCACTGGACATTTTAACAATAATATAACTGGTTGTACCAATTCTTCACTGTATATAACAAAGTTTCTTTCTTCTCCTAGCCAGAAGCAAAAGCAACACAAAACCTTCTTCATCGCATAATCAAGTAAGCCTATACAATCCCGAGAACCAGAAATCTTCTTCACTGCTCCCACTTCCGCCACTCCATGCCATCTGGGGCTTTCACCTCCACCTTTTCTCGTTCCACTTCTTTCCAGTTGGTGCTAAGAACAGTTCCACCCGATTCTTGCTGCAGATACAAATATAGTAACATACATACATGTAGAGATAATATGTAAATAGTATGCACTAAAAACATTACTCAGAAACAACAAATTATACTTCTGCAAGTTGCCTACACCAGTGTTTTTCACACAGGCCACAGACTGCTGCTGATCAGTACAAATATTTTATCAAAATTCTATAAGGTATCAGATGAATCATTCCTTAATGACATAATACAGCAGAAAATATACAGTTTTTGTTAAAAATGAACATCTGTTGTAAGAAAAGTTATTTGATGACAGTATTTATAAATGATTTTCAAAACTGTCAAACAAATGGAAAGATATGTCCTTAGGGTAGTCTTGAAGTGTTTATTAGTCACCTCACAGTCCTCAGCCCCTACATAGCCCCACTAACATTTCTGGTCACTCCACTAAGTACATAAACTAGAATGATCAATGCAGAGAATTTATAGAAGATTGATGGGTGAAGTGTATTTGAATCTTCAGAAATGAAGGGTGGTCTGCTCTCAAAGGGGAATTCTGGATTGTAGTTTTGTGACATTCGTTGAACTTGGAGAGATGTCGGGATCCATTTCTCATTTTACAAATTACTTTAATGCCAGCAGTGTTACTGGCTGCTCATAAGTTTGAAGTGCTGTGATGTTATTAGATTAGTTATCATCACTGATGTATATTAGCTATGAGTGAAGCACAGCATATTATTTGGATTCTTAACGATCAGAAGCAGTTAAACGGAGAGAACAGTTCTCATGAGAAACCAGACTGGAAACTAACAAAGTCAAAGTTAAGATTCACAAGATAATAATTTGTATTTTATTTAAGTGTAAAAAACATACTGACAAATCGTGTCATCAGTATGATTTGTGTGGAGATGTGATAACAGTGAATCACAATGGATGGTGTTAATAATTATTATTCTATAATTTAATTTACTAGTGTGATGGACACACTTCCAGACAGATCAAATAAGTTTCTGCAAACACCCGATTCTTTGATTACTTAGCAATACTTTTCACTGCATGGATTATACAGCATCAGATGTTTAAAACAGATGCTGAATATCAAATTCCAAAGAATGTGGAAGAAGACACTGATATGTACCGCCTGGAGTGATTAAGGAAAACTATGAGAAAACGTTTGGCAACTAGACAGACAAGTTCACAATACAAAGCAGGAGTGCTAAACACTACATTATGACATTCATCAACAAGGTGTGTGTCTGTAAACTTCAGTACCTGCAATATTATTTGAAGCTGCACATTGGGAATGCCTCCAGCACAGTTATGTTGTACATTAACAACTGAAAAACCAAAGTTTCCATCATTTACAGTGTTCAAACAAAAGTAAGCACCACAATGTGCCGCTAATTTAACGTGTGACATTTGAGGTCTTCGAGCAGTCAATATTATGATAATGGTCTTCTGGAATTTGATGCTGGTACCCAACTGTATGATGTCACATCCTAAAAGATACTGTAGTGGTCAGAACTCCTGCTCTGTGTTCTGAGAGTCCCAGCTTCAAGTCTTGGCCTAGAGATAAGTATTCAGGACTGGCCACAGCTTTCCTCAGCTACTCCAGGCAAATCTTGGGAAAGCAGATTGAATGTGGCAATAAGTGAATTTTGTATTTTTGAAAATTATTATTAAATGATCCAAGAATGAATGAAACTGTACACTGTATAATCTTTGGCCTTATGGCACAAAAGCTCTACACTGTAACTTCATGTGGAGGGAAGTTGTTTTAACACATACGAGGTCTACGTATTAGGTCTCAATACAGCAAACTCTGAACTTACAAATGATTTATTCATGGCCCTTTTCACTTCATCAGATCCCTGTGAATAGATTTTCTGGAACAGAGCATTAAGTGCAGCATCTCCTTCAGGGTTTTCATCCCCTTCTTGTTTAGCAATATCTCCAACAACACGATCCCAGTCTTTTGCTTTTGGTGCAGAACTAGGATACTTTGGAGGACCAGCATCTAACACAGCTGCAATTACATCAACATATATTAAACAGCGTCATCAACACAAGTGCACTTTAAGGTTGCAAAGAATATCCTAATTATAACAGAATATAGTTCTCAATAAGAAAACAAATGTAGTGTATATTCTAGGGGTCACATGGTAGCATAGTTGGTTGAGGCACTATGCTACAAGCTAAGCTGGAAAGTCATGGGTTCAAGTCCCAATGAGGTGCATTTTTTCAATTTACCTAATCCTTCCAGCTGCACTATGGCCCTGTGGTTGACTCAGCCTCTAACAGAAATGAGTACCATGAATTTCTCTGGGAGATAAAGAGTGGCCAGTGCATAAGGCTGACAACCTCACCGCCATCTGTGAGCCGAGAGTCTAGAGAAAATGTGGGGGTCTTGATGTCTCACAACCTTATGGACCTTCATGGCCTGTTACAAGAATAGCTTTACTTTTTTTTTACAGTATATTCTACACTTTTATTAAAGCATAATCTACATAATATATATAGGCACAGCCTTTAACAAAGTCATTCTCAACTCCAATCAAACAATCCGCACCATTTCTATCACCTGCAAGAAAGCCCATTGAAAACAGCAGCAAGGAATTTTGCAATACAGCCTTATATTGTAACTAAAATATTTCAAAGAAATTTGTATGCCATAAAACATATGTAATCATATTGAAGAACATGCTCAAAGTTGTGATACATCCAAATCTGAAGCATAATGAGAGTCCAGTGAACCAGAATTTTATGACACGTTCGAAGCCATCCAATGCAGCCTAAGATAGAATTTCATAAATGGTACAAAAGTTACTCCCATCTCAAAAGCTCAGAAGACAATCATGTAATGCTGATGCTGGGGCCCTGAATTGGTTCTAACTACTGCATCAAAAACTAGAGTAACTAGTGTCTATAAACAGTGGGTGGACATAGGCCCATTGCAGCTTAGTTTAGTTTAGTTATTTAGAGAGGGTGGGTTTCCCCATGCACCGCGACCAGTTTGATCTATTATGCTTCCCTCTATGATATTCTACCAGTCTCTATACCCTACCGATAAATGGTGCGTACCATCAGTCTCGCCGAGCAAGCGAGTTCGGCCACTTGCTTAGCTGTATCTATAATGCTTCCCCCATCTATCAGAGGCCTTAGAGACTATTGTTGGGCGGGAAACGTCCTGGAATTTGGCTCAGTGATCCCCTTTGGGGATATGAGGTTCTTTTACGTGCCGTAAAGTTACGAGACGGGACACACAGCTTAAAGTCCCTCCCGGAGGACTTGTTCCCTGAATTTTTCTGCCCTTAAAAATGTGACGACCTCCACCGGGTATTTGAACCCGCATACCACGAGTCATGAGGTTGATATATTACCTCTAGACTACGGAGGCCGCTTCCCATTGCAGCTTACTAACAAGGTTTCTTCACAACCCTAAAAATGAAACACTGAACAAAAAACAACTGTACTAATACCTTGGCTCTGACCTGTAACAAATGTATTTTTAATTAAATTATCCATACCACATTACACAGCAACTAATAATACTATGATGTGTCAATAACAGTCAGAAGATTTGCATAAATTCTGTTCTCAAAGAATCTTTTTTTTTTTGTTCTTTCTTTGGCGAAGTGACTGCAAATTTATTTCTCCATAACATCCCTACATATTCCTCTAGTTTACCTCTTGGTAAACCATTTAACACCACACAACAGACTACTGTATTAGGAACATTATTATTATTAAGCAAGCCCCAACACATTTTCTACTAAGTGCTTTTCTGGGTTATGATGCCATATAGTCTTGTAGGTGGCTACCAACATTTCAAAGGAATATACTGTCTCCATCTTCCAGCCTGAAGACAGGCCTCTCACGCTACATGGTCACATAACCCACAGACCACAATATTAAGTTTCACTGCAATCAAAATCTCAACTCTTATACATGTTCTATAGATTTAGGCATCATCTCCAAAAATTCTGAGTCACTATATACTTTACTTTAAAGACTGGTTATATACTGCATTTAGCCTATGGTCACAAAATATCACTGAAATTTCACATTGAGAATAGTATCTCTTTGTGCAGTTACCTCTGCAAATTCAGTACCATGTATGAGGAGAGTCTGAAATGTAATGGGACTGGCAATACTGCTCATTTCCAGTGGTCCTGAACAAGATGGAACATGCCTTTTACGTTGCTTCCTCAAGCAATGTTTATCTGCTGGTGCAGAGGTTGTCATTTTCCATTGCACATATTTGTACAAGCCCTTGTAAGAAACCTGTTCTCCAACAGCTGAGCAGAATGAAATTTCACATGTTTTGAGAGAAATTGGTGTGAAGCTTAAGAAAAATGGAAGAAGAGATGTCAGAGAAGTTACAGAATGTGTGTGGAACAGAAGCAGTGAGCTCAGCTTTAGTACTTTGATGGTGGAAGTACCTTCAAAATGGAAACCAAGAAGTAGTCGACAATGCTCAAAGTGGGAGGCCAAGCACTGCTGTCACAAATGTATATACTGACAAAGGTGAATTCACCATATCATTACAGTGGAGTTAGGAGTGAGTGCAGTGTATCAAGGTGGGTTCCTTGCGACTTCAGTGGTGAGTACAAAAAAAAAAGCATGTGGACATCTGACAACAAAATGTTAGTGTTCTTGAACAAAATCCTAACTGTTGATCAACCATAATCACCTATGATGTGTCTTGGATAAGACAATATGACCTGAAATCGAAACAGCTGTCAAGTGTTTGGAAACACAAGAAATGACCTTCACCAAATGAATTTGTCATAGCACCATCATCAGAAAGAGTGATAGCAATATTGTCTTTTTTCTCAAAAGGCACTGCTTTTCAGCAATGGCTATCTTGGAAGCAAACTATGAATGGTGATTACTATATAAACAAGTTCTTGGAAGAACTAATTCCCTACATGCCTTTCACTGTAATTTGAGTAACTGATATGATAAGCAGAAAGAATACTTTAGTATGTATGTGCAAAGAAGTCAATAAAACAATATAATTTGGGAGCCCGCAGTTTACTGATGTCAGTGATTTATGAAATACACCACTGAGATGGACTTTGATGGCATGATATGTACACCAAGTTTCATATAGATGGTTCTGGCATTCAGGTAATATTAAGGTTATTTTCTAAACAACTGGAGTGGCTGCAGTGTTGATATTACTGATGGGAAGGATTTTTTATGTATGCCACTAAGGTGACCTCAGATGGCATGACACAAACATACCAAGTTTCATAATGATCAATCCAGGAATTTAAGTAATATTAAGGATGTTACTTCAACAACTTCAGAGGATGCAGTGTTGATACTACTAAAAAGAGGGATTTCTTTAGTATGCTGTTGCAATGCGTTCATGTGGCATGATATACATACTAAGTTTGATGAAGATTGGTACAGGCATTCAAGCAATAATAAGGTTTCATCTCAGAAATTTGAAAAGCCAGCCTGGAAGGAACAGCCAGGTTGTAAGTATGAGCATCCATGTAAGGCAAGCAGACTCCTGGTTTCTTTCCTGGAATGACACACAATCCAAACATATTCTGTTTTCAAACACCCACTATGACCTACCTTCGGGCATGGGTTGTGCAACTTCAGAAGTTGTTGGATCTCTTTCCAGTGTTGCCCATCTAAGACCATCACGCTTCTTTAATTTTATCTCTATCTGCAACAAATATGATCGATAAACGTAGAAAAATGAATAACACAGAGCAACAACATATAAAAGTGATCTCCATTATAAATTAAGAGTAAACTTGGGTTAACAATGCTTTCATATATTTGTAAATGTTTTATCTTCCCTAGTTTCCTCTAGAAATTTAAACTACAAAGTGTAAAACCAAAAAAAAATTTCTTCCATCCATATACTTACACAGGCCCTAAATTTATTCTCTCAGATAATAACAGATAAAAGTGACATTTCAAACAAACTTGAGGAACACATATTTCATGCCATTCATTATCTATCTTCTACGCCCTTCTTGGGGGTTGGAATTATGATTATAGCACCCTCTGTTATATACAGGCACAAATTTGTTCTCTCACATTTACATAAGAATGATGGTTGTAGACATCTACATTGTAAAAACTGAGTGCTGAGATGATTCTGTTGCATATGAAACATACTAACAGCAAAACAATGCTGGCTAGGAGCCACAGAAAACTACCAGTTACCTGGCATGTATGGGGAATGGGATGTGTCTGTTCCATAAGAAAAACTCCTATGGGAACCAAAGACAAAATCTTTCCTACTGCAAGGGTGCCTATGTGAGGGCGAATAACAGGCAGCACACCTAGTGACAGCTGGAAGAACTAAACATGGTATGTAAACATATGCACATTATAACCCTGTTCTGGAAGTAACGTTATAAAAATTGTAATTTTTTTTAAACTTCTGCCAGTTGCATAAGACTTTCAGATGCCTAGATACTGAAGACGTTAAGGAAACAGATTATTAAAAAGTGAGATAGACTGAAGTGAGCCTGGGCAACGTAAAATAGTAAGTTTTTATAACAGTAAGGTAAAGTTGTACTACACTTAACTAATTAAGTATTATGCCAAGAAGGTGTATGGGGGAGTGGATGTATAACCCATGTTTTCCTGACGGCGCTATGTGGAGGTCAGTGGTCATCTTCATGCACTGGCTACTTTAACCCCGGGGAAAGATCCCCCATTGGATAGGAGATTGGGTGGACCGCAGAGCCAGTCTGAATGACATGGAGAAGTGAAAATTCTTAGCCCTACCAGGACTCGAACTCCAACCCCTCGGTCGTCCAGCCAGTAGCCAGTTGCTGTACTGACTGTGCTATCCTAGCTCATGTTTTTATAACAGTACATATATCAAACAGTTATAAATAAATTGATATTAAATGTAAGGTTTCAAATTACCTTTGATGCTGTTACTTTGATTGCTGATTGGCCAGAGATGATGGGGTAGGTCAAATTTAACTTCAGCTCATAATCGGAGCCATCAGGTAATTGTGCGGAAACAGCAAGCTGAAACAAACATTATCAGTACATGGCCAACTTGGAAAAGAACACTAAATAGCATATAATAAAACAGTTTGTAATCTTTGCCAATTAACAATATTAGCTTTATTATACACATTTTCTCTTTCGCTGGCTAATTTATACAAAACAGAGTAAAGCTAGTAAGATTTCAGTCACTGAACAGCAGGATTGATATTGAAAAAGTGCATTTAGGCTGCTTCAGTAATTATTATTGGAGTAAGAAGCAGTTTAACAAACTAGATGTAGAGTCTTACATGTTTTGCCCCTTGGGGATATCATCAGAATCATAAAGAGAAAAGGAAATTAGCTTTACACTTGCTGTAGATCATAAAATATGGTTTACAGCTACAAAGTAAACACATTATTTTATAGAAGTACTTCTATAGTTTTTTTACAGTAAATTCTAGTTCATTAGGTCTTCCATGTATACAGCACACAAATGCTACCGCATGTCATATCCCGTGTTCTTTTAGCATATTAGGCTCTTTGACCACATCTGTGGTCTAGTGGTCAGCATTCCTGGCTACAGATCCAGAGGTCCGGGTTCAATTCCTGGCACTACCAGATTTTTTCTGAGAAGTAGTGGGTCTGGGACGGGGTCCACTCAGCTTGATGAGGATAACTGCAGAGCTATTTCAACGAAACAGTGGCTCTGGTCTAGAAAACTGAAATTAACGGCCGTGGAGATTTGTTGCACTGACCACCCGACACCCTCTATCCGCAAAAGTTGGCACTAAACTTCGCTAAAATGTGGTGGTCGTTCAGTCAGTATAGTTCGCTTGCGGACTAAAATCACGGAGTTTCTTTTTATTAGGCTATTTATGGTATTGTTTATTAAAAACATACGTGTGTATGTGTATAACATGGGAAAGGTATTTAGTATTCTTATCATTCAGTAAAGCATATATAATACATACAACATAATTAATATCAGTTAATAATGAATCTTATACCTGACTGTCCTCTTGGCTACATGCAGTAGCAATGTGCATACTGGGCTACAGGCCACTGAAATGGTGCGGAGGGTGCAGTTGTATAATATTCGATTATGTAATGAATGGTGCGAGCATTATATTCTTATCACAATTATATCAAAGAGGCTGTTTCCTCTACTTTTTCTATCAGTAAATATATTGTTTATGTATATAAAAAGATGTTTTCTTTAATATTCATAATTTTTCTATTATTTGTATGACCCATTATATCTAGACATCTTCCATGTTTCAATATTGGCCTACAAGTAAGCACAGAGAAAACTAAGTATATGTTGCTGTCTCGTCACCAAAATGCAGGGCAAAATCATGACATAAAGATAGGAAACAGATGTAATGAAAATGTGGCACAGGTCATATATTTGGGAACGACGATAACAAATCAAAACCTGATGCAGGAGGAAATTAAGAGGAGACTGAACTCGGGTAGTGTTTGCTGCGATTCAGTCCAGAACCAGAACCCTTTGTGTTCTCATTTGCTGTCCAAAAACATAAAAATTAGAATATACGAAACTATAATTTTGCCTGTGGTTCTGTATGGGTGTGAAACTTGGCCTCTGACATTAAGGGAGTAACATAGACTGAGGGTGTTTCAGAACAGGGTGTTGAGGAGAATATTTGGACCAAAGAGAGACGAAATAAGAGGTTGGAGAAAACTGCATAATGAGGAGCTTCATAACTTGTACTCTTCTCCAAGTATAATTAGAATGATCAAGTCAATGAGGATGAGGTGGGCAGGGCATGTAGCATGAATGGGGACGACCAGGAATGCATATAGGATATTGGTAGAGAAGCCAGAAGGAAAGAGACCACTGGGAAGACCAAGGCATAGGTGGGTGAACAATATTAAAATGGATCTTAAGAGAGACAGGATGGGATGGTTATGGACTGGATTGATCTGGCTCAGGACAGGGACCAGTGGAGAGGTCTTGCAAACATGGTAATGAACCTTCGAGTTCCATAAAATGCTGGGAAATTCTTGAATAGCTGCAGAACTGGCGGCTCCTCAAAAAGGGTTCAGCTCCATGGGAAAGTAAGTGGGCCTTAAGCTACATGAGGGCTTGAAGTTTGAAGAAAGATATGTTCTGTTAAACACAACAATGAAACCGCTCATTCTTGCATATTTTACCTACCAGAAGAAAGAAATTAACGGCAACACAATAGCAATTTGAAGTTCGTGAAGTAACCAAAAGTAATATGAACACACACATCACTGCAGTTCTGAAGGGCTGCGGCCAAAGGTCTGAATCTGTACAACAAATCGCCGAATTTACATTCAAATACCTTTAAAAGATAATACTTACATTTTCATCGCCAAATTCTACTTTCACGTTTTCCTCTTTCGTATTCTTCGCCAAAATTGTGATGACGACATGACTCTCAGTTTGGTACCAGTCATGCTTAATTTTGGAAACTCTTTTTGAAATTTCTGCTGCTTCTCCAGCACTCGGAGAGTTCGATGTATCTGCCATATTTTGAATGTTTCTAAGCTTTCGCTTTCACTGACTTCGTAAGAGCCAAATTATTCCTTTCTGGTTTCTACTTTGGTATTCTATTTTCAAACATAAAACAATCTGAAATACTACAAGAAAAAAATTATAGTAATTACACTACTCTTATGAATACTAGGTTATGTCCAAAAGTGTCGACTTAATTTACAAAACGAAATGAATCCGGTGCTAGATATTGTACGTCTATAATGTTACAAAGCAATTCGATCACTCCATTGCAAGCACTATTGTCCCAGTAAGCCAAAAACGCTACAAACTGCGTACAATCCAGAAACGTCTTTGGACGTATTCTAGGCACGGCCTGGCAATTCAGTGTTTTATTGGCTGCCTACGTAGCTGCAGTGCGGCCACGAATTTTAGTATGCTGCCATCTATTTGCAAGATTCAGGCTATCGTTACAATATAGCAATGGCCACTGTTGAGGGCTTAGCCGGTAAAAAAGTTCCTTTACTATAGATTTACTATAGATAGATATAGATATACTATATATACTTTACTATACTATCTCATCGGAGATAGACCTCCCTAACACAGAATTCACAAATAAGCATTAATAATTTTGCCCCCCTGATCTCTTGTTCTACATCGGTTCGTACTTCGTTTTCATAAATGAGTCTAATTACTGCACTTATCTCTCAGGATAAAGTTTCTCAGCAGTGCGCATTTAATTTACATCAATCTAGCCTACCCTTACTGAAATGCATCGTGCATTGTGATCTTAAACATACATAGAAGTTATATTCATCAATGTTTAGTAAAGCTGAAGTTGGGTAAACTTGAATGAAAAGTCTCTTTCCAACAGAGATATTTGTATTCAACTTGTTCTCAACTTACACTTGAAAGAATAAGCACAATAGACCATTGTAGGTCGCGGTGCAAGGGCCGAGGAGGCCTACCCCTCATACATTCATACACTGAAAGTTACACAAAACATATGCAGCATTTGATGTACTTTCAGCTGTGGTTATGAAGAGTACTATCTTCTGGGATATAACGCCGTGTAGACCGACGTTTCGGAGAAATATTTCGCCTGCATCTTCAGGGTTGAATTCACCGAGCAAGAAACCAGCGTGGAACCACTCTGCTTGCCACATGCGTTCACGCTGGTATCATGCTCGGTTTATTCGCCCCTGAAGATGGAGGCGATATATTCCTTTGAAAAGTCGGTTGACGTCCAACGGATTACACAACGTTTTATCTCAGTATATAGTATTCTCCATAAACACAGTTTTTCAGTTACACTGATGTATTATAAATTGCGTATATGTATGTCTACATACACAGAGCGATAAACAACACTACTACACAGGCAAGGTGAAGAACCTACAGTCAAAGAGGCATACATGACAACTACACCTATACACTTGGGAACTACACAATAACACACAACACCCATACTGCTGTGCAAATACTCGTAAATCCAAACAAGGAGACCTCAAACCATGTCGTTCGGATAAACGGACGATGCCGCCGAGCAAATTAGTGAAATTTTAACTTGTTTTATTGACGTTAATTAAAGTCCATTTATTTTAAGTCAAAAGATATTGCATTCGCATGTGATATGAGAAGCTGGATATTCCATACAGGACAACAATTTTAGCGAATTAGAGACACCTGCTGATGGCTGTGTACGGTCGAAACATGTTGTCAGAAGGAAGAGGGACAAAAATAACTTGCATTGTAGACGGAAGTTTATTGTATGAAATAAATGATATACTAACGCAACAGGATGCTTAAATACAATATTATAAAATAATGAATATAAGGAACCTTACAAATCTGGAATATACTCATTATGACGACAGTTCTGGTCACAATAGACCTAATGTGGGTTTAGATTAAGGTGCAGAACTTTCACTGCAGGTCGGGGTAGGAGATGGTGACCGTAAGTTCCTGCAAAAGGAAGATGTCTTGTTACTAGGTCACATGTCGTCACACCCAAGTGGAAGGTATTCTTTAAAATAAATTACTGGCGTCGAAACACGAAACACGAAACATGCTATTTGTATGAAATGCATTAAACGCAGAAACCTAAGGTAGACTATATGCAACTACTCCGTGCCTATTTTGTTCAGTACTTTTAACACAAATTCAGTTTTTTTTTAATCTGCATAGATAGATAGACAGATGGATGAGGAGTTCTAAATGAACAATATGTATTGCCCTTCCATGTTACAAGTTTGTGGCACGGTTGCTAGATGGTAGCATTAAAATCGAAAGGCTCTGCCCTCTGGTGAGTGCTTCTCGCACCCGATGATGCTGTGGTGTAATGAAAGGACGGTTATAACGACACTTTCTACCTCACTTCACGGGGTTCTTTATAGGGAGCAGCCAATATTTATGTTTTCAAGAGATTTCGATTATGAAACTCGAAAGTTCACCTCCGTCATCATAAAAGCCTGTCATTAGACTCTGTCCTGAGAAAATTCAATTTAACTCGGTTTCCCAGAATGTCCTCTCTAAAATCCTATTCAACGTGATCTTTCTGCTTGGTGAGCTTGTAACTTGGTAGATCAAAGCATAGAGACCTTGATCTACCAAGTCGCCACTTTTCCATAGTTGTCTCTAAAACATATTTCGTGTGCACTGCATTTTGCACTCAGGAGAGTTCTATGTCTTGTTCAACTAAGACAATAACTACTTCTCTCCTGACTATGACAATGTATATTAATATTCATTTTCATGTGAGTTTTGAAAAAGAACAAGTAACCAAAGTATGTGCATACCGTAAGAATTATGGCGTCTTCGCTCCCTTGTGTTTGATTATTTCGAAAACAGTAAAACTTCAGGAAATATACATTCGACATAAATGTTTTTAATTTTCTCTGCACTTTTACTAGAAACAAATTTCTCTCCGATAAATGATTAGGAAGTTTCGCTCGAGATGCTCGCAGAAACGCATTTAAATCTTAGTATAAGGTGATCGTTACTGCACTACGATTAGCCAGAACTGGAATATGTCAAATAAATTTCAGTAAACTCCCCTATGAAAAGTATAAGAATCGGTGAACATATATATATTTACCACCAACGCAATAATACTTATTATTTTTATTTTTATTTATATAGCATGCATTACATGTTTCGACCTCGAATGGGTCATCTTCAGGTGCTACAGAACCTGAAATAAGAAAGTGTTGTTGCGTTGACCGTAAAAATTATGTACGTTCATTGTACATTCATTGTACAGGATGTAATCCATGAAAATAAAAAAAAATAAAAAAAAACGGTGTTCAGTGATTCTAGAATTGCTGCATGCGGATAAACGGATGGACAGACACACACATATGGCGAGCCAATAGACTCAGTTTTATAACTTTTCCTTCTAATAGCACCAAGAATCGGAAATAATGTGTTACATGTCTTTCCGCATGTAAAAGTACCTAAGCTTCTTTCACAATTTTGATCAATCTCGACATGAAAGATCTGTTCAGCCCTTCTGATTTTGATTTGATTTTTACAAGTCTGATGGCCAGTTAAATATTTGTTCCAAATACACTTTTACGTTTACTTTCAGAGTATTTTGACAGATTTCGATTAATTCATGATATTAAAACGAAAGCTCTGTCGAAGTGCTGCCATCTTGCAAGTTACGGCAGCCATTTGTATAAGACTTGAAAACACAAGTGCTAATCCTAGCTTGGTGCCCATTGGACGCTAATTTGGAGGTTGGTACAGAAATACACGCAGAGACAAATGTTCTTCTCTCTTCTCCAAAACGCAGAAGAAAATCTTATACATAAAGTAGGACTGAGTACAATACATCCTGTTTGTTTGCACCTCTCTTATAGGACGAAAAAGTTAATCGTCAGACAACCTCGAAGAATCAGTCGATAACTAAAGTGCATATTTTCGGAGCCTCTATATAAAAGACGGTCGGTGCGCGCATATGTTTTGTTTTTGATGCTTGTTTGCTTGTGCTCAGAGGGGAAATGGGCCTGGGGGAAAAGAATGAAGTAACATAGTACGTAGGTCGATTGGTATTTTTTTATTATTGGCGTGTATCGGCACATTTTGAGCTATATTTACATCTATTGTTTTAACAAAAAAGAAATTGAAAGAGGGGGGGGGGGACGACAGGACTGACAAATAAAAAGAACGGGAAGGAAATACGGTAGAAAGGAGGGATAGGGATAAACGCCGAAATTATGTTTAAGAACTGGACAGACTTCCTGTTGAAATTTCATTGGGTATTTCATTAGTAATAATAAAAAGATAAGTAACAAATTCTTGGAAAATGTTGCTGAGAACACATACCTTGAAACGACAGTACCAAATTAGAAGCATATTCTTGACAGACTACTCTCCCATGCATCAAACAGGCCTTGCCCATCTCACGTCCTTGATTTTGATCATTATAATAATATCTGGGGAGGAGTTAAAAGTTATGAAGCTCCCCGTTATGCAGTTTTCTGTTACTTCATTCCTATTAATCTGCAGTATATTCGTCAATACTTTTTCCTCAAACACTCTCTTTCTATGTTCTTCTTTCAACGTGTGCGACCAAATTTCAAGCCAATACAAAATTACAGGAAAAATATAATTTTAATATTTTTTCGCGTTTTTAGATAGCATACTACTGACCCAGGAAAGCATAGTCGGTATAGCGACTGGCTACGGGTAGGGGCAAGGAGGAGTCGGAGTTCAAATCCCGGTGGGGAAAGAATTTTCACTTCTCCATGTCGTCCAGACCGGCTCTGGGGTCCACTCAACCTCCTATACAATGGGTATCGCGGGCTCTTTCCTCGGGGGTAAAGCGGCCGGGGCGTGAAGATGACCACTCACCTCCAACTGGTGCCGAGGTCAAAAACATGTGGATCTATACGTCCATTCCCCCCTACGCCTTCATGACGTAGTGCTTAATTAGTTAAGCACAGGGACAACTTTACCTTTACTTTTTCTTACAACTTTTACACAGCATACTACGAGCAGAAGATAAAGAATTCTGAAATGTGCTGTAGCAAGCATTCCCAGAATATAACCTGCTCTTAATTTCTTCATAAATGCAACTTCGATTTGTTAGTTTCGTTCCCAAATATTCGAGCTCTGATACGTGTGCACTGTGTTTACGTTTGGACCAACCTCCTTAGCGTCTAATAGAGCTGTTTTCTTCCTCACGGTAATTCTGTTATCCTCCAGTAAATTAACAGCATCGGCAGAAATCATGAGTTCATGCGTCCCACTCAATTTCAATACACCCAGATTTTATTTGATCTTCCTACTTCCAAAGTAAAGCTGAAAAGAAATGGTGATAAAGCATGTCCTTTGTTCTAAGGGGTTATAATGATGACGTAAAACACGGAATTAGTGTGTTT